TAGTCAAAGAGAAGAGGTCATCATGGCAAGCAAATAGGAAAGACTACGGGAAGTTATAACTGCCAGGAAGTTACTTTATATAAAGGCTTAGGAAGACAGAGAAGGGGGCAGTCTCAAATATAAACATCTCTTATACATACTCTTTCTCTCAACTAATTCCATGGCTATGGCCATCTATGTACATGTACTACTCCTACAACCTAGTGGATTTCGGCTTGGCTTAGCCCAAAAAGGCTCGTGGTTTTCACCGTATTGGTTTCCACGTTAAATATCTTTGTGTCCTGCATATTTATTTCTTATTATAACGTGCGAAAGTAGATTTTTAAGGAAATGTAATTATATAGAAAATGTATTTGCAACGTCAAACGACACAAACATACATATAAAAAGCGGCAATCCTAAAAATGAATTATTTGTTATTGTATGGTAGAATTGAGTTTATAGGATCAAAAAAAGGCTTTTCGTAGAGTTTGCTTTTTCATGCTTCTTGCTGTCATTGGTCTCTCTATTGCGTCTAACATAGGTATCAATATGTTCTCTCATCTCTTAAATTTTCAATAAAAGATTTATTTATATGCTATATGGTAACAAATTATTGTCCCTATAACTTTATCCTAATTTTATTTGGTCAATTCGCTAATATTAAATGAATATAATTAGTAATTTTGTAATAATTATTTGGAGATATTTTTCTAATTTGGAATAATCTCCACATTTATTATAACGTGCGAAAGTAAGTTTTTAAGGAAATGTAATTGTATAGAGAACGTATTTGCAATGTCAAACGACACAAACACACATATAAAAAGCAACAATTCACTAAGTGGTTTGTAGTCCACTGGTATTGGGTTGTTCTCCTAAGTGAGAGGTGTAAGGTTTGAACTTCAGTTGAGGCAAATAGTCGTATGTATATGTAAGGTATCCCCATTCTTTATAATAATAATAATAATAAAATAAAAAAAATAAAAAAAAAAAGGCATTCCTGAAAATTCTTTCATGCTTCTTGCTGTCATTGGTCTCTGTATTGCGTCTAACATAGGTTTCAATAAAAATGCCATCCGGTTTTGACTTGATAGATTTTTTTGTTTTTGGTTTCCTGATCTGATCTGATCTGTGCGGCAAGATAGCAGTGGCTGATGAGTCTTGCATTGATACGTGCGATGAGGTGATCCTTTGCTCATCAAATATACTATTAATCATTTTGGCTTACAAAACCTTTATTTGCTATATGATGGAGATATGCCAAATCATTTTGGCTCACTAAACATGCATCATCGTTTCAGTCTAAATATGCATATTAGCATATATAGATAATAATAAAAATCTAAACATGCATCGTTTGGAAATAATACGCATTATTTTTTCATTCAAATTTTATCTTATTTATTGACGGACAAATTCCTTATAACTTAGGTTCCTTTAGAAATTTTATACAAAGGATTCAACAAAACTTGCAAAATGCAAAACATATGTGAAAAATAATGCACATATATATATATATATATATATATATATATATATATATATATATATATATATATATATATATATATATAACGGAAAGACATTGCATGTAAAGAAATAGAGCATCTTAAAATAAAAAAAAATACTATGAACAATATATTATTAAATTAGTATTTTATATGCGCGATACGGAAAAATATATGTTCAATATTAACACTCAATGTTAAAATCTTAATAATATTAAAATATTTTTTTAAAATAATACAATATATATATATATATATATATATATATATATATATATATATATATATATATATATATATACTAGTATTGTCCCGTGCGATGCACGGTTAAGTATTGAAGATTTGTTTGTAGTATTTTAATTAACCAAAATGAATTTATTTATTAGACACCCAATGCATTAAAAGTATTTGATGTATAAAAAAAAAAATTGTCATTGTATATTATGTAAATAACAAAATATTACACATTATTAAACACTTCATGGTAAATAACGTTAGTAGTTGACGTACTAACATTGTTCGAATCACTACAAATTAGAATTTTCAATCGGTCTGGATTGCTCACTCTCTAAGCAACAACGTATAATTGACTATGAACAAAATCGATTTCGTTAAAAGTAAGCTAAAGTGTGATAGTGTTAGCCTATTACAGTGGTATAAGTTTTTGGTTTCGAATATTCCTAATTGTAGATGATCCATTGTTTGATGACACATGATATATGTTGCGAATTGATGAACTAATTAATGTGCGTTCTACAAATGATGATATAAAAAAAAAAAAAAAAAATTAACAACACAGTATAAAAAAATAACATTACAAAAAAAAAAAAAAAAAAAGACTTTAAGCCTAACCATGAGAAACTACATTCAAAGGGGTAGACTGTGATGTGTGAAATACACCGTAAACATGATTTCGTGTTGTATTACAGTCTGTCTATAATGGAATTTGTAAAAAAAAATTGGTTTGAATATTTTTTTAAATAAATTATTACTAAGATATACATACACGGGTAATGCATACTAACTTTCATCCTTCTATATAAATTATTATTAAGCTATACATACACGTGTACTGCATGCATACTACACTATCTAACAATCTTACAATTATATATATACTAGTTTTTTACGCGCATTGCGCGATTGAGATAATGTCCAATATTTTTTTTTTAAATAAGTACTTTAAAGTATATTAAGACAAGATTATATTGAAATTGTTCATGCATAGATAATTGAAGGTTGAATTTGCGTATTTAAATAGGTAATTCTTCTCCCAAAGGTTGAGTCCCCTACCCCAAGGGCCCCCCACACTCTGACCCGACAGAGCATTGTAGGAAGTTGTAAATCACGGTGACTCAATGGTTCAGCAGACAGGACCAAATGCCGGTGCGAACAAGGAATCTGCCCACTTTGGACATAATTCCCGCACTGCCGCCGCCGAGGTTCAAACCTTGGTCTTTTCTCCCAAATACTGCCCACTAAACCATTGAGCTAAGCCCGTGTGGGTTAAATAGGTAATTCTAAGTTTACAAATGCAAGATAATATAGTCAAGATTGATTATAATTGTCAATAAAATAATTGTATAGGTATGGTTGAAACCAAATACGGGACATAAGGGAGAACAAAAAAAAATTAGGGCATAAAATATTAAATATATACTAATATTGTTTGAGGAGATTTCGACATTAGGATTTGTGGTTAAGTTCTATTAAGACTTTAATATTAGAATTATATTAATGGTGTAATTATAATTCTATATTAGACGTTAATATTATAATTAGACTAACGATGAATTAACGGTATTTAACGGAAAAGTTAAATGGATAATCATATAATTAAGGATAAATTAGAAAAAAATTTTAAAAAATTAAAACCTGAACAATTTGAACCATTCATTTGATTTAATAATTTGGCGGTCATTTTTTCTACCCAATGTTAATAATTAAATAAATTCGTTGGTCAAATCCGCTAATATAATCCGCGCGCTAACTGTTGATTGTCAAACAAGGACATTGCAAGGTAGTTCTCACTTCAATTTGTTGTGTGATTTGAATACTCTCTTTGTCACAAAATCTCTCAAGTAGTTAATATGGTTGGCTTTATTAATTATATATTTTTTTAATTTTTCATGGTATTAATAAAATACTTGGTAAATAAATATATAGCATTATTTTGTATTATAACTTTGATATTTAATTAGAAAAATAGTGCACAAAAAAGATAATAAACAATGTAGTGAATATAATCAATTGATGAATTTGAATGTAAAAATTTTTACATTTGAGAAAAATAAAGACAATATAACTAATGAAAATATTTCTCTTAATTAATTTATTGATAATGAATAATTTTTTTCACTGAATTAAGACATTGTAAGGACAATGTAGCGAATATAATCAATTAATAAATTTGAATATAAAGAATTTTTTATATTGTAAAAAAATAAAGACAATATAACTAATACAATTATTTCTCTTATTTAATTTATTGATAATGAATAATTTTTTTTTGAATAAAGACATTGTGGACACATAATTCTAAATTAAATAAATGCATATCTATAATTTTTTGTTGTAGCTACTAAATTATTATTTATAAATTTAATAAGAGTAAAATAGAGTACTAATTATGCCAACTTTGATTGGGATGAGATTCGAACCTAAGACTTTTTTTTTTTATTGAAATCAATGAGTAAGTTAACGGTGAACTAACGGCAATTCTTAAAATTTTAACGGAATTAGTAACGGTGTGTGGGTATCTTAGGAAATTTTAGTGTAAAATTTAAATCTTATCAATCTTTTAATCAATCTGAGCCATTCATTTGATTAAAATCTGTGACCGCCATTTTTTCTACCCATTATAGACATAACTCTCTTGGGCTCTTATTAGTATATATATATATATATATATATATATATATATATATATATATAGTAGAAGTAGATATATACACATACACACACACATTAGAATTATCGTAGAAGTAGATATATACACATACACACACACACACATTAGAATTATCTAGAAGAGGAAGTGCTACCTAACTTTCTTAATCATCTTCCTCCCCCTCCACTGCTTGCTTTTACAGATAAGGTCGCATCTTCGGCGTTTCTCATTCCTCTCGACTTAATTAGCTTATGTATTTTAGATATATATATATATATATATATATATATATATATATATATATATATATATATATATTGAGTGTAAACTCCTTGTTTATCTCATTGAGTGTAAACTCTAAAATTTGGTTTAATTTTGATATTCTTAGTGCTGAGTTTTCGAATACATTCATGTTTGATCCAGAAGCAGATCTGGAGATTTCACTGCAAAGTATCGTTGTTTCCACACTTCCAAGCAAGGATTTATATTTGTCTAATTATTGGCAAAAAGCATCGTAGGTTGATAAATTTATGATGATTGGCTAAGTTAATTAGATACTTTATAATAGGATGATACTGTTTTGCATCTGGAAAAACTTTATATGAGGATAACTATTAATTGTTGATAATATTTACTCGTCAGATGGAGTAAATCTTGGAAACACGGATAAATCGTAAGCCATTTCTTAAACCCTTTTCTTTGTTAAATTTTCTTTTTAATTGAATTATTATTTTCTTGTGTTCTCTCTGTTTGGGTGATCATGTTTTTTCAAAATTTTCTTGTGTTCTCTCTCTTTTCAAAATTTGTAGTAGTTTCAATTTTTCTTGAAAACGGGCTCAGTACATTCTATTTTGTAGGCTCAACTAAACCCAAACCCAAAATCCGCCAGCCCAAAAGAAATTAACCCATTTGACCCCCCCATATATAAATACATAGCACCAAACCCTTATCTCTGATTCCCGTCCTTTCGTCTTCTTCATTCTTTCTACACAATTGTTTTAGTGATTTTCACTAATTTGGTTATTTTTTGGTTCATTTGTGTTTAAAGGTTCCAGTTTCGAAAGATGATAACTTTAGAAGTAACTGGCGAGGAATTCTCCATTGCACACGCTGGTGAAAGTATTTTAACGGTAAGTCACAGTCGACATTTTTATCTTCGGATCTGGTTTCTCAGTCGTTACCTCGGCTGTACACAACGAAAGTACAACACTGAAAAAACACCAATCTTCAAAAGAATATAATAAGTTTATTTCTCAATTTACTAAGTTTTTCTATTCAATCTATATGCTTGTAAATAATGTCTTTTTTGTACAGAGGCATATATATATATATATATATATATATATATATATATATATATATATATATATATATATATGAGTTAATACTATCTGAGGTCCTCCGAGTATAGTGGTTTTGCCACGTTTAGTCCTAAACTTCCAAATGGACCATTTATGGTCCTTCGACTTTCAAATTTAACCATCCGTAATTCAAGTTAACCACCTATGGTCCTTCAAGTTTCAAAATTTAACCAGTCGTGGTCCTCTTAAAATGACCATTGTTGGTTAAAATTTAATAGTTGAAGGACCGTGGGTAGTTAACTTGGACCACGGATGGTTAAATTTGAAAGTCGAAGACCACATATGGTCAATTTGAAAGTTTAGGACTAAACGTGGCAAAACCACTATACTCGGAGGACCTCGGATGGTATTATCTCATATATATATATATATATATATATATATATATATATATATATATATATATATATATATATATATATCAGTTAGGGTTATTCGTGCATTATTTAAAAAATCAATACATTACAAAATCAGTTTTTGATATTTCCAATGTGCTCTTCGTTGTCATATTACATTTTTGATTTTATAATGTGTTAAATAGATTTTTAAACTCCACTTTGAAATCTGAAATGTGAATGTACAGTTCACAACCACAAAATAATTAATGAAATATAGATAAAGAATCAATACATATTCGTTTCTACAAAATACCTTGGTCCACAAAGGAATTGAAAGAGAGGCACAACTGTAGTTCTTTGAGCACACTGGACCAAGGTATTGAAAGAGAGGCACAACTGTAGTTCTTTGAGCACACTTCACAATCTCTACATTACGTCTGCCTCTTTCCATAATTCTTTTCTTTTATTGATTTTTTTTTTCAGGCATGACACGAATCGTTCTTCTACAGCTTTAGCTCTGAGCAATTTTTTTCTGTGTGGTGGCTATTTTTCGAATTGTCAGGGCTTATTTATAGTATTATAGAAGCAATGTATATTTAATCTTGGTATTTACACTTGTAATTATGAAGTATACGAAGAGACAACTTGTTATATGCAAATATCCTCAATTATGTGTAATCAAAATAAATAAATGCAAATATCCTCAATTATGTGTAATCAAAATAAATAAATGTTGTGCCTATGCGGATTCCCAATAATAATCAGTTCAGTTTTTTGTTTGGGCATGTGCTGGCTGGAATTGGCGGGAAATATGGCTGAAATTGGCGGGAACTATGGATTCTGCTTTATTATAATAGAAGATATAGGGAAGGGTTCAGGTGCGGGTGATACTTCCCATGCGATTGGACGCACCTTAAACATTAACATGGCGCACCTTAAGTATACAAATCATCATGCAACTTAAGCACACAAACAAAGCACCTTAAGAACATAAATCACTCACATTAAGTACATAAACCACGCGCCTTAAACACAAAACAAAGCACATTAAGCACGAAATCCACGCACTTAAGATTTTAAAATGGCTCACATTAAACACAAATTCACACACATTAAGCATAAAGTCCACGCACATTAAACACAAACCTCACACACATTAAGCATTAAACTGACGCACTTTAAGTATTAACCCACACACCTTAAGTTTCAACAACTACTGACATTAATCACTAACCCCACGCACCTTAAGCATAAACCTCACGCACATTAAGCGCAAACCCAACGCACCTTAAGCAAAAACCTCACGCACCTTCACTACTAAAAATTATGAAATTTCCGACCCCTCAAAGTGATCTTAAACCAAGTCGAAAGCTTTGTTTCGACCACTTTTGGTATCCGGAAAAACCTTTGTTGCTATTTCCGACCACTTTTTGGTTTCAACTTGATTTAAGATTACTTTCAGGTGGTCGGAAATTCCATAATTTCCATTAGTGCTTAAGTTTCAACAACTAATGAAATAAATCACTAACCTCACGCACCTCATGCACAACCCTCACGCACCTTAAGCACAAACCACACACACCTTACGCACAAACCACACGCTAACCACAAAAATTACCAAAATGACACTGCGATTTTTAATTTAATTTTGGTAATCTAAACGTTGCTTTAAGCAAAATCTATGGTTCTCCTTTCACCGTACAACCGCACCTGACACCCTCAACTGCACGTGAACGCCTTTATATATATATATATATATATATATATATATATATATATATATATATATATATTAAAATTATAGTTGATAATTTGAGTAATTTGAGTAATAATTATAGTACTAAACTAGTAATTCACCCGCGCGATGCACGGAAAAAATTATGTTGTTATAAATATAAATAAAAAATAGAAAAACTAAAATATTTTAAATTATTTAATATAATAATATTTTTGAGCTTCCATTGGTCAAGTATTTATTATTTTTATAGAATACAAAATTAAAATTAAAATTAAAATTTTGTATGGTTAATATAATCTCTAATTATGTCCATATTCAAATAAACTTATAGAGATAATTTACATAATTACATTAATTTATTTTTAATTGTATTTCATCTATATTATAATTTTCACAATACAAATAATAACTAAGATAATTACATTTGGAAAGCAAATTTTAAATTTTGTATGTGTAAATTTAAACTCTAATTGAACACATTTTTTTATATGATTATATAATATATAGCTATTTTAATTTTCAAAAGTATATTTTTTATATGATTATATAATATATAGCTATTTTATTTTTTAAATGTTGTGTTTTTTTTATAATAAAAGATGTTGTGGCATTTATTGTAACATTAATTATTTCTCAAACCTTATAGCTTTATTATATAAAGGATTGATCAAATTATGAAATATTATTTTTTTTTTATGTAATCAATCATATATTAATTAATACTAGTACAATATCACGCATTAAACAATTGGGTAAACACCCAATAAGTGAAAAAATAATAATAAAATAATAAATAAAAGGGAAATGAAAAAAAAATTAGTACATCATCAACAACAAAACTTGATTTACCAGTTTTACCCTTCATTTTAACACCCACTTAACTCCAAAACTAACGGATCACCATCTTGACTTAAAATTTAATAGGCAGAGGACCACTTTTGGTCTAATTAAAAGTCAAGGAACCAATTTGAGAAAAGAACATAGTCGGAGGACCATTGGAAATTAACTCAAAGGAAAATCAAACTTATTTCATATACTAGTATTTTCACATGTGGTTGCACGAAATGGATTTGTTATAATATTTTAACAATATTTGGATCGATATACAATTATATAAATTATAACAACGAATATTATATAGTGCAATTGATGAAATGTGTTGGATCGATTATGTTTTCTGATGTTATCCTTACTTGAATTCGAGCAAATAATTGCCTAATTACCCGTGCAATGCACGAATAAAATTTTTGTTATATATTTAGATAATAAAATTAAAGATAGAAATTATAAACAATTCTAATATTTGAAAGTGTACATTTATTTGATTATAAAATAGTGCACAAGTATTACTCAATTAATTGAATAATATATGACTCGTTTGTTTGCAATTATCTTTAAAAAATCAATATGCAATATGATTTATGTAGTCATATTATTATTAAAAAAATTCGATAGGTCACGTTGCTTGACCATTCCTTTGTTGTTTAGTGGAAGCAAATGATTTACAGGTAAGGAATTTTTCAAAAGCTTAGATTTTTCCCTCAACTGTTTAGGAAAATAAGTTTGGGTTGGACTTAGGAAAATATTCATCACTCAAAATAAAATGGGGATCTACTAAAATTACATTTTTGGCTCATTAAATCAATTACATTTTATTCTTCACATCATTAATAAGAATAAGTTTACAAATTGTAACTACAAACTACTAAGTAATTTTTTTAAATTTGAAACAAATAAAAAGTTGGAATTTTAAAATATTTTAATGTAGTAATTATTAATTAGTATTCTAGCCAAGTCCTTGTGGTTTAATGGCACCCGGGTTGGATTCCCATATGGGAAGTTGTGAGTTCGCGTCTCTGTGGAGATATTATTGGCTCTTTGTACTTCAGTAGGTTTAGAAAGTAGTTATGAACATATTCTCACTTTTTTTACAAGATGATCATGTTCTCATTTGATCCTGCCTCACTTTAAAACGTTTGTCAAAATTAATTAATGTTTATGGACATATGAATATAATTTAACATGTAACATATTTAAAGGCTTAATTTAGACATGTAATATATAATTAATTTCATATATAATAGACGATGCAAGCCGATGAGCCACTGTCTTCGCCCCATCTTCTAACAGCATTTTATGAAATTTATATAGCAAAAATATTTTTTATGGTTCTATTTTTTTATTTAAAAAAAAATTAGGTGTAAATCACGAAGTGTTTCGGGTTTTTCTTTGTTTGTATTAATGTTTAAACCCACCCGACTAATCCCCGTTCACTTTGGGAGACATGGGAGGTGGCTCAAGGAGAATTGTCACATGTTGGAAAGAAATTCAGGTTATTCCAAAGATTGTCCACACAAAGAAGCTTCTTTGCCACTTCAGCTACCCCTTTGGATTTTGATTATATTTTAAAATTGATTCTTATACATATGAACAAAATTATATATGATTATATGCCTAATTTAGTAAATTAAATTTTAAAAAGTTTACCTTCAAAATCATATTTTATATGGTTATATCATTAATCGATTTCCAAAGAAGTTTCCATATGTGGTTATTTATGCCCAATTGACTCCGAAAAGATTTTATGTATAAACATTTTTTCTTTTTCTATCAACTTTTGAAATTTAGATTGACAGGATAATTGGACAAGGAAATAGACCTGAGCCGAAACATTCTTGGTCTAGCATATGTTCAATTTTTAGTGACTATATTTTAACCATTTAAACTCTATAATTTTGTTTAGGAATATAACATGACAATGATGAAATTGCACA